TCCTGTCTATATAATTATTACAGATGTTTTAACTGCATATTTTGCATCAGGGTCACTGAGGTCATTGTCCCAACAACTTATTTCAATGCATTTTCCCCAGAAAACTAAAGCAAACCAGGCCTTTGTGGTGATTGCCCAACCCCACACCTCCTTTTGAAACCTGAATAACAAAAGACTGTGCCTGTAAATTACTTTGGGTCAACTTCTTTTGTTTTAAATTATTCTATATAGATAAAGTTATGCCACATTTAGCCACTCCAATCTTAACTGTGCGGATCTGGTGAAAGTCCCACTTTCTGTCAGTGCAAAAAATTTTTAAAAGAAATTTCCCTGAGATATCTTCATATAAAGGTGAAATTTCAACCTTATGTCTGTTTCTCTTTAACATAAAGTAATGCTGCTGTAGTAAATGAAAGAAATCTCTCAGCATGACTCTTAAATTGTAAGAGATGCATATGTAATATTACAGAAAGGTTTCAAGTAGCTTGTTGCCCCAACTATGTTATAAAACAGGAGAGTTTAATTGTTAAATGTTTTTTTTCAAATCCTTAATTGGTTTGGGAAGTTTTATTGTAGACAAAGCTATAAAACTTTCAAAAACAGATGCAGCAAAAAGTCAGACATTTATGCCGTCCTTCACATTTTCCAAAGCCATTCATTAGGCTAAACTGGAGTCTTTGCCTGGTCCATTCAGGCACCCCAGGCCTTATGTTTAACACCCCTGACTTGAAAGTGATGTATTAAAAGAAATTACAGAGGATTTAACAGGAATTTGGTAATTTAGATTAATGTGTCATGCAAACAACAGTATCTATATTTCTAATAATTAAATGGCATCTCTGCCAGCATTTTGGAACGCGAGTGAATTATGGGTGTTTGTGAATGAGGGGTTTAAGACCGGGGTAAACAAACACTGCTGACACATCACTTGTGTGGTGGTTTGTTTGCTTTTCCTTCTCCAGCATGTGTGACTGTCAGATAATGTATGCGTCTGCAAAACAAATTCGTTAGTATACACACAAGGATCCAGATACAGCTCAGTGCTAGCCCGGGTATAGGCACTAGGCTAGTAGACTAGCAGGCTGGCTAACGAACAAAGGTTGCTATCGCGCTAGCCCCTACACAACAACAGCACCAGCAGCTAACATCAACTAGCTTGTCAGCGACCAAACTGGACTTGCTTGGAAGCGGGTCGAAATTATTCTGCTGCTGCTGCTCTTCATCATTGACGTTTCTGTTTCAGTTCCTCTGCCTACCAATCCCCGCTTCCCCGCATACACTCGGCTAATAGTGCAGAAGAAGAAACCACTGCACCGTTAGCTTAGAGTGGAGCTAACCTGGCCATATTTCAATCCCAGCCTCTCGCAGCCTGCGTCTCAGATGGTCGTTCTCCCGCTCCCGGATCGCTATCTCCTCCTGGTACTCCAAAATCGTGTCCTCGACAGATTTGTAAATCTCCTGCGCAGCAAGCATGAGACGCTCAGTCAAAAAGACGTTTAAAAATTGCAGTTTGGTCATTTTTGTTTTGGGCTGCACGGAGCTCCTGCCACCAGCTAAAACGGACCAAAAAAAAAAAAAGATGCTCGACCCCGTCACGTGACCCCCAACTACTTTCTTCTGCCTTCTTACCCCCAGGGATTGTCTTCCAATGATTTTTGTTTTTCGTTATTTTTCCTGTGCTTTGACTTGCAGTTTTGGGGTTGTTTCAGTCTTATTGTGCAGAATGTTTTCAATTTCTTTTATTCGTTTCAAATTCATTGGGCTTTTTTTTAATGTAATTCCAACACGTATCCGTTTCTGGTGATTTAAAATTTGCACTCAGGAGCCAGCAAGAATGAGAACACACAAAAATAAGGAATACAAATAATATTTGCTGTGTTATTTATTTATTTATTTATTTATTTATTTATTTATTTATACAAAATATCACGTGTACATAAGATTTGTTGCAAGAGTTGTTGAAGCTAGGGTGAGAAGAGAGGTGATGATCAGTGAGCATTTGAGATTGTTGATGGAGAAGCACAGAGTAAGTCATAAGGAGCTGCACTGTGCCTTTGTGGATGTAAAGAGAGAATATGACAGGGTGCCAAGAGAGGAACTGTGACACTGCAGGAGAAAGTTAGAAGTGGCAGAGAAGTATGTGTGGGTGGTGCAGGAAATGTATGAGGTAGGAGTGAAAGATGGGTTCAAGTGGAGGTGGGATTGGGTCTGAGCACCTTTTTGTTTGCAGTGGTGATGGACAGGTTGACAGATGAGGTCAGACAGGAGTGTCCGTGGACTGTGATGTTTGCAGATAACACTGTGATCTATCTGGAGGTATGCTCTGGAGAGAAAAGGAATGAGCAAGACAGGGTAGAAATGTGTGAAAGAGAAGGATGATGGGTATAGGGAAGCTGATAAGAGCAAAGGTAGTGAAAGTGGGTGAGTTCGGATACCTGGAGTCAACCATCCAAAACATTGGACAGTGCACAAGAGAGGTGAAGAAGAAAATTTAATCAGGGTGGAGTAACTGAAGACAAGTGTCAGGAGAGATTTGTGACAGAAGCATAACAGCAGGAGTGACAAGGAAGGTTTATAAGTTACTAGTTAGACCTGGTATGATATACGGCTGGAAGACAGTGTCACTGACCAAAAGAGAGGAGGCCGATCTGTAGTTGGCAGAACTGAAGATGTTGGGATTTTCTGTGGGAGTGACCCGGATGAATGAATGAGATTAGAAATAAGTACATCAGAGGGAAATCTGAGGTTGAACGCTTAGGAGACGAAGTTAGAGAACAAGACTCCTGAAAACTCAGTGACTGGATTAAACACACACACACACACACACACACACACACACACACACACACACAC